GTGCGCGCGCGCACGCACATACTTCCTCCCCCTTGTGCGACCTCCTCTCCCTAGCGCGACCTCCTCGTCCTCCCTCGCGGCCCCCTCCTCCCGCTCGCACAAACTCCTCCCCCTAGCGTGACCTCCCCCTCCCACTGGTGCGAACTCCTCCTCCCCCTCCCGCACGACCTCCTGCAACCTCTCATCCCAGCGTGTAACCTGCTCCTACCCCTCCCATGACCTCCCCCTCCCCCGTGCACAACCCACTCCTCCTCCTCTTCGGACCTCCTCATCCCCCTTGCACGACCTCCTCCTCCCCCTCACGGGATCTCCTCCCTGTCCTTGCCCAACCTGCTCTTCCCCCTTGCACATCGTCTTTCGACCTCCTCCTCCCCCTCACGCGACGTTCTCCCACCTCTTTTTTGACCTCCTCCAGCTCCTCCTCCTCCTTGCGCGACCTCCTCCTCACCTCTCACGTGTCCTCTTCCGACCTCCTCATCCCAATCGCGCGACCTCCTTCCACCTCCCTTCCGACCTCCGCACGACCTCCTGCAACCTCTCTTCCCTCGTGCGACCTGCTCCTCTCCCTCGCACGACCTCCTCCTCCCCCTTGCACGACCCACTCCTCCCCCTCTTTCGACCTCCTCCTCTCCCTTGTGCGACCACCTCCTAGGCTCCTCCCCCTCTTGCGACCTCCTGCTCGTCCTTGCGCGACCTGCTCCTCCCCCTCACACATCGTCTTCAAACCTCCTCCTCCCCCTCGCGCGACCTCCTCCTACCCGTCGCGCGACCTCCTCCTACCCCTCACGCGCCCCCCTTCTCCCCCTCGCGTGACTTCCTCCCCCTCTTCTGACCTCTCCCTTGCTCGACCTCCTCCTCCCCCTTACACAACGTCCTCCTAATCCTTGTGCGACCTCCTCCCCCTCACGCGTCCTCCACCCACCTCCTCATTCCCCTCGCACGACCTCCTCCTCCTCCTTGTCGCGATGTCTGCTTCCCCCTCACATGACCTCCTCCTACCTCTCTTCCGACCTCCTCCTTGTCGCGACGTCCGCTTCCCCCTCGCACAACCTCCTCCTCCTTGTGCGACCTCCTCATCCCCCTCGTGCGACCTCCTCCAACCTCTCTTCCGACCTCCTCCTCCCCCTGCCAACCTCCTCCCTACATACTCTCCCCTCCTCCATGAATTCTCATTCTGTCATGCTTATCGTCCTCCTCCTTTTCATCCCTTTTTCTCCTTTTGTTCCATCCTCCTCCTCTTTCCTCCATTCTCATTGTCCGCGCGCTCCTCCTCTTTTTCGTTGTTCCTCCTCGTCCTCGCTGCTCCTCATGCTGCCTCCTTTGTTTCGATCGGCCCAAACATGCTTCTCCCTCTTCATCCTCCCTCTTTCTCCCACCCTTCCTGCTCTGAGCGCACACGTGCCACATGCCCCAAATGTCTTTCTCCCTCTTCCTCCTCCCTCCTCCTGCGCTGATCCTCCCTCGTCCATCACATCTTTCCATCGCCGCACTTTTCCATATCGACGCGGCCCCCGCCCGGCACCACGGACTGGCGGGAAACAGAACTGAATGGGGGGGTTGAAAGAAAAACCGTGGCAGCAGGGAACGGGACTTTGTGTCCTCCCGACACTGCAGAGCGGGGCGTGTCGCGTGGAACCGCCACACCGAATTTCCCTCACTCCCGCCCGCAGTCCCGCCACGAAACGTCGCGGCCGATTTACCTTGCCCCAGTCCCGCCCGCCTCCACACCGAATTTCGCTGGGCCCAGCGGGAAGCGTCACGCTGGGCCCTTTGCATTCTTTAAGAGTATAGAGAAAGAGTATAGAGATAATACACACAATATGTTACAAACATCAATAGTCACAGAGATGCATTAGGCTTAAAAAAAAAAAAAGGCTTTACTCTAACAGTGGATACATCTCTGCGATTGCGCTGCACCCCATGCGACCATGACCCTTCTGCCTATCTCTGATCAAGTGTATGATATTGTCTATTGTTTTTTGTTTTTTGTTTTTTTGTTTTTTTTTTATGCCTATTCTACTGCCAGCTCACCTCATTAGTCCGAATAACATTGCTGTTGTACAAAAGCTCTCGAAATTCCGTCTCTCCAGAAACCATGACCTGCATTGCGCTCGCCAGCATTATATAGTATATACACATCACTAGCATTCAGTTGCTGTCCTCATGTTTTGCTTCGTCAGGGATCACTGGCGAGAGGGGGTGTTTTTTTTTCCTGTGCAGCTGTCTAATAACTGAATAACCTATCAACATCCAATTGGCAGAGAAATGAGCACACTGCCTTCTGAACCATCGGAAGCCATGTGATACTCTGATAATACTCTCCCAATTGGAGGCTGATGGGTTATTAGATGGTTGTACACAAACACACGCATAGGACCGACATGTCTATCCCTTTTCACCCCTCCTTCCGTAGGTCCATCCTTTGACTCTCTCTCTCTCTCTCTCTCTCTCTCTCTCTCTCTCTCTCTCTCTCTCTCTCTCTCTCTCTCTCTCTCTCTCTCTCTCTCTCTCTGACCTGCACAGACATGCAAACATGTGTGGTTCGAGTCCCCCTACTTGCATATGCACATTTTGTGAGATAGAAAAACCGAAACAACCAACAAACGAAGTAGCAAGGCCCTGTCACTGAATGATACACACATGTAACTGTTAGTAAACAGATTGTGACTCTGACTCCTGATGCAGTAAGATGAACACACGTCATTAAGGCAGCACTGATGTCATACCTCATGTTGTACACTTTGTAGTGCACTTTCACTGGAGCCTTCTTCTTCTTCTTCTTCTTCTTCTTGCTTCTTCTTCTTCTTCTTCGTCTTCTTCTTCGTCTTCTTCTTCTTCTTCTTCTTCTTCGTCTTCGTCTTCTTCTTTTTCTTCTTCTTCTTCTTCTTCTTCTTCTTCTTCTCTTCTTCTTCTTCTTCTTCTTCTTCTTCTTCTTCTTCTTCTTCTTCTTCTTCTTCTTCTTCTTCTTCTTCT